CAGAGTAGTTACACTGAGTTTCTTGTGAGATGCTCTGCAGCAGCTCTACTTACTGAGATGATCTGCTGGGTATTTACACTGATTGAGAGAAAACTATGCCATGTTCTGCTGAACTTACACAGGTTCTACTGAGGAAGTGATGCTCTGCAAGGGCATGATGTGAGTACGGGGGGAGGGGGCAGTACATCTGCAGATTGGTGTCTCAGGAAATGACATGGATGATGCTTTGCTGGGGTAATATATGAAGATTGATGCTCTGCAGTAAGGAGACACTATGGTGAGAGGGATGCTCTGCAGTAAGGAGACACTATGGTGAGAGGGATGCTCTGCAGTAAGGGGACACTATGGTGAGAGGGATGCTCTGCAGTAAGGGGACACTATGGTGAGAGGGATGCTCTGCAGTAAGGGGACGCTATGGTGAGAGGGATGCTCTGTAAGTAAGGGGACGCTATGGTGAGAGGGATGCTCTGCAGTAAGGAGACACTATGGTGTGAATGATGCTCTGCAGTAAAGAGACTCGATAGTGATGTTCTGCACAGTAGGGGGACTCGGTAGTGATGTTCTGCGGGGCGAGGGACCCGGTAGTGATGTTCTGCGGGGCGAGGGACCCGGTAGTGATGTTCTGCGGGGCGGGGGGCCCGGTAGTGATGTTCTGCGGGGCGGGGGACCCGGTAGTGATGTTCTGCGGGGCGGGGGACCCGGTAGTGATGTTCTGCGGGGGACTCTGTATTGATGATCTGCAGGGCGGGGAACTCGGTAGTGATGTTCTGCACAGTACGGGGGAATGAGCAGTGAGAGTGATGCTCTGCAGTGGACACAGAGTTGACATCTGTCAGGATGGGTCATGGGGTGACCCAGGGAATGCTCTGCACAGTTGGCACACAGGTGACCCTCACTGAGAGATGCTCTGCTGATTGGTAACAGGGGGTGATGTTTATTGAGTGATGCTCTGCAGAGATATAGAGTAAGCAATGCCCTGGGTGACATTGGCGGCCCCTGGCCTCCTCTCTGTATGGCTGGCTGTGCATCTTCCACTCTTTAGATTGCTCTGTCATATACTGTAGCGGTGTACACAGGAGACCCCAGGTGAGGGTATCGCATATGACTCGGAGCGATGTGCTGCAACCCTCGGCAATCAGAATGACCCTTTATTACACAGACATCTGGTTGCTAGGAGAGTCTGCACTGGGCTGATGTCTGGTTACTATGGGAATATGTGCTGAGCTGATGTGTGGTTGCTCTTGGTTCCTGCCAGGGCTGGTTGCTATGAAAATCTGCCCAGGCTGGCGTCTGGTTGCTATGGGAAACGGCCCAGGCTGGTGTCTGGTTGCTATGGGAATCTGCCCAGACTGGCGTCTGGTTGCTATGGGAATCTGCCCAGGCTGGCAGCTGGTTGCTATGGAATTTACACAGAGGTACTATCTTGTTGCTAGGAATCTGCTATGGAAATCTTCTTTGGGCTGATGTCAGCTTGCTTTGGAAATCTGTGCAGAGATGTCATCTGGTTGCTATGGGAAGATACCTGGGCTTCTGCCTGGTTACTATGGGCATCTGCACTGTGCCCGCGTCTGCTTACTATGGGAACCTGCTCTAAGCTGAAATCTGGTTGCTATAGGAGTCTGCCTGGGCAGATGTCTGGTTGCTACGGCAATCTGCGCGGGCTGAATTTGGTTGCTATGGAAATCAGCGCAAAGGTGACATCTGGTTGCTATGGCAATCTTTCCCCTGCTTGTTACCTTTGCTGATTAATGTGGAGAGATTGGGCATTTCATATGTGCCGAGTGCCCGATCACAGTGATGTACACGGGATATACGCGTGAGTTGTGTGTGTCCGATCACAGTGATGCACACGGGATATACACGCGGTTTCTGTGTGTGCCCGATCACAGTGATGTACACGTGAAGTCGTTTGTGTTTCCGATCACAGTGATGTACACGGGGTATACACGCGGTTTCTGTGCGTGTCCGATCACAGTGATGTACACGGGATATACACGCCGTGTGTCTTGGTGGCTCCGTGTCCGGCACTGCAGAGCTTCCTGTCACAGGTGGGAAGTGATGTCACCAGCAGTGATGGGAATCTTCTTGTATACATTAGGGGGGAATTTATCAAAACTGGAGCAGTTGCTCATGGCAACCAATCAACATCTCTCTTCAGTTTGCACAGTTGGGATTTGAAAATGAGACAGAGAAGCTGATTGGTTGCCGTGCAAATCTGCTCCAGATTTTGATAAATTCCCCTCACTGTATATAGTTCTGTGTGATTGGTCATCGTTCTTTCTCTTACGTCTGATGTACAGATCACGGATCATCCCGATACATGTGTGTGCATGGTGCACTGCAAAGAAAGAAGAGTGCCGTAACCCATAGCAACCAATTATTTGACTGAGAGGTCACATCGGATTAGAAAGTATTGGGTTTCCATGGCTACCACTTTATTCTTTGCCATCCGCCCTCATTGTAGAACTCTGATGGATTCCCAGTTGTGGATGTAGATGGAGTTTCCTTCTTTTGGATGTCACCGCAGAGAGGAGAGTGGCTGGACTTCCCATTCACATGGAGTATGTGCAATCTCTGTGCAATCTCTGTGCTGTGTGTTGGGAACATAGGCTGTAGCGGTGTCTTGTTGCTGAATCGGGTCCGACCTCCTGGAAGGTCCATGATATGCGTTGTGTAGACCTCAGATAATGGCCCCTGGGGGCATTCATAGTCCTGTGCTGGGGCAACACATGGTTTGATGTCGGTGATGATCAGAGGTGTTTCTGACTGTATGAGAGATCAGAGAGACGATGTCATTGGATGATGTCATACTACTGTGCACTGGAACAGTACAGTGTTTAAAGAGATCTCCTGCCGTGATGTCTAAATTCCTGTAACATGAGACCCTCCGAATTTCTACAATTCCTGAGAGGGGGAAAAACAGATCACTGTATGTCTGAATGAGACCTCTGCCCGTGTCCCCGGCCGTCCAATGACGAGACCTCTGCCCGTGTCCCACGGACCTCCACCAAGGAGGCCTCTGGCCGCGTCCCCGTAACCCAACAAGGGGACCTGTGCCCGCGCCTCGTACACCCAACAACGAGACCTCCTGCCCGCGTCCCCGTACACCCAACAAGGGGACCTGTGCCCGCGCCTCGTAACCCAACAACGAGACCTCCTGCCCGCGTCCCCGTACACCCAACAAGGGGACCTGTGCCCGTGTCCCCGTACACCCCACAAGGAGACCTGTGCCTGCGTCTTTGTACGTCCACCATCGAGATCTGTCCCCGTACGTCCACCAATGAGACCTGTGCCCGTGTCCCCGTACACCCAACAACGAGACCTGTGCCCCTGTCCCCGTACACCCAACAACGAGACCTGTGCCCGTGTCCCCGTACACCCAGCGACGGGACCTGTTATCTGAATGACGGCATTCTAACCCCGAATGTGCTTATCATTGGGGAAATGTGGTGAACATTGTAACGTGGATGTGTTGGGCACAGAAGAAACCCGTTTCATACATCTCGGGATGATGTCTTTCTGGGCTTACAAACGACGATAACGAGATCGAATGTTCTGATGAACGATTTCTAAGCGTGTCTGGCCAACATCCGTCTCCTGCAGACCGGCACAGGCCGGTGTAGATATGACTGAACTTCCTGTATGAAGAATGTTGTGTTGGTGTAAACACTCCGAGTTTAACATAAACTTTCCTGCAGGCCATGGACTGCGTCATTACCCAGAACCCTCTGCTCCCCCTCCCCCCGGCTCCTTTTGTTTTCTTTGTCTTTTGTTCCTGATCCTTCCTTTTGTCTATTGTTGTTTTGAAGGTTGGAACATTCCTCCTAGACAGAGAATAAAAGCCGATCTTCTTCTTTGGTGGTTTTCCTTTTCTTTTCTTCCACATCTGGTGAGGAGGATGATGATGATGAATAATTGCCGTGGGCTCACCTAAAGAAATTTATATAGAGTCAGGGAGACTTCCCACTATAGTTTTTTGGTAGATCTAAAGGAGATTGTAGACTCGGCCCTGGGGGAGGAATGAGAGAAGTCACTTGCTTACCCCATCCATCCATCCATCCATGGATGGAGGAACCTTCACCTATTGTATTCGGACAGCCGGCACCCTGTATATCTGCTTGGATGCAGTCACTGTTCAGCTGACAATTTTCCACCCTGCTCCTTCAATTTTGGAATTGACCTTTGTGAAGCCAACACGCCCACCTACAGCTTGATTCTTGATCGATTCAGCAGGCGTTGGCCACAATTTGGGCTGTGTATGTCTAGCGTTAGACATGGTACGGTCTCTTGATCTGACCAGATGGGGTTTTATTCCGTTACCTGTTCTCGTCCGGCTCCACTTACCTCCAGCAGGTCATTCAAGCCGTGGGATCAGACCGGGAGGGGTGCGGAGACTCTCCGTAACTCATGTAACATGGACCCGTCTCTTCTTTCATCTGGCACTCGGGGTTGCTGGTTAGGACTCGTGTACAGCAGACGGCATATTTCGGTTTTAAGTGCCAAACGCGGCAGAGCGCCGTTATTCACGTGCACCAACATGACGGGATTTCTAAATATGGCCGCTGCCCAGGGGCTGTGTGACCGGGTCCATTTTAAAGTAGACATTGGGATAGGACTGCTGCTGGCCACACACGTCACTTTTGTTCCACGGAAGTGCCTCAGGTGAGTGTCTGTTGATCCGGGGGAATATCTGATTTGCCACAGGACAGGGATAGCCAAACTGCGGCCTTCCGGCTGTGGCGAAACTCCAAATCCCCATCATGCATCTGTACCTGGGAGTCACATCTGTGGCTGTCAGTCTTTGCAATGCCTCATGGGATTTGTAGTTTCACCACAGATGAAGGGCTGAAGTTTGGCTGCCCCTGCTATAGGGGATCAGAAAGGTTGAACTGCTTTGAGGGTTCATTTGCCTTCCTCTGTTTTTTTTTTT